TCTTTCCCTTGTCTCTTTTTTAGCACTCTTCAGATGAAAGCCTTGTATACACCTTCCCATTTCTTCCTTACAGTCAAAGTGGAGGCAAAATTACTGGGCCTGTGCTGCTGCTTTTAAAAGTCTGTTCTTTGAAATTCCAGATTGCATGAGATTTGGGGCATCCGAAGGGCAATATGAATTTGGAAAATTCACTTTAGGTACCAGGGAAATTCCGGCATGCTTACAAGAAGCATTCCTGGAACAATAGGCAGGAGATGCAATCACCTTGAGAAGGCTCAAGGAGAAGGAGGGAGTACTAGTAACCATTAAGGCATCCAAGAACAGAGAAGAAAATAGCTACTCGTATCTAAGGCTGTGCCTACACTCTAGTTTTTATGGTTTGTTTGCAGTTTTTTTCCTTTTTCTGGCACAAGAAGTTTCCCACGACTGTTACTATTATTTCTATTCCTCATTTGGGAAGGAGACTGGTAAGACATGAAGTGGAAAGAAAAAGCTTAGGAGGCGGTGGAATGAATTAGAACAGTGGTGTTAGCAGGCAGATCAGTACAATACGGCTGCTGCCCATCTGAAAGGTGACAACCATAATTAAAACATCACAAATGTGCATCCCGATTCTTTTTAATAAAGACATTTCACAAAGGTTTTCTCTCTAAACCCACTCAGTAGTTATGCAATGACTAAACTGCAAAAAGAAAGGAATGCCATTTTAGCAAAGAACGTGCATTTCATCAAGGAGACATCTCTAAATACTACAAATTTTAAATCAATCACATTTTAGCCCATGGCTATCCTTTCAGAATAAGTCTATTGCATATGTGAAGTTATAAGGGAAAGGGAAAATTAAGCAGAAAAAATATTTCTGGCCTGGTTAAACAACAATTAAAGAGCTGCAGTAGTTATCAATTATCTGATGCAAACACTAATAAGAAAGGAGATATTTAAAATGGAAGAATGGAAATTCAAGCAGGAGTAAAGGATGAAATTATGAAGAAACTGAGGAAGACTTCCGTTTGGTCTTTAACCCAAGAGTGAGTGTGTGGCAATGGCCATGTAAAGATGCTCCTTTTTCCTGGGAGAATTGCTGTTCTCCCAGTAGAAACCATGAGCATACAGATGTTACAGCTCTTTCATCTGGAACAAAAATAGCAGTTCCGAGAGTTCCAAATGGCAGCTCAAACTCCAACCAGCAAGAAGTTATTCCTGGAACAAACTCTTCCACAAGAATGAGGCTGCTGTGCCTCCCAGAGATCAGGTGAAGAAGGCATGGGGGGCAGTTGCTCCCACATCTCCTGTAGACCAGGAGAGGACACGAGGAGCAGCTGCCCTGCACTAGCTCCTCACAAACCAAAAGTCCCTGGCAACAGGAGCTGAGCAGGAAGGAGTGCCATGAGCCCCCTGCCTGCTTCGTGCACCCAGCTGCTCCAGGCCCCGCAAGAAGGGGAAGACTGGAACAGCCAACACTTTCCCTAAATTGGAATCACTCTGGTCTTGGAAAGGCATAAGAAGCAGGGGAGAGGGGGCAGCTGCAGGCTGAATGCTTGTACAAGAGGGGATATTGTAAAGTTCCCTCTTCCTGAATCATTTTCAGTGGTGGAAATGAATGCCTGTATGCAGTCACTGTCTGAGCAAAGACCCATCACTTGCAACAATCAAGATTATACTGGATAACACACAAAAAATTATACTACAAAGAACACTTTTAAATGGACAGGGAGACAGACTAGATTATGAAAAAAAAGCCTTAGGCTTCTCAAATTTCTACAGAAGTGTGAAACACGTTGTGGTGTAATTTAAAGAATATAATCTCTCTCTCTCGCTAAAGATAGTCACTGCATTTTCTTACTGGGCTTTGCAGAATCATGGAGACTCTCTTCTTTTGTTCCATCATGTTGAAATCTTGACGAAGGTCAGGTGCCATATTCCTCTCTCGCAGGTACTCTGGGTTATTCTCATCAACTCGATCAAAATACCTCTCCTTATGAGGGGCTGTTGTTGGGGGTGGTGAAGTCACCACCGCTGCACCAGAATCACCATTCATAGCACAGTTTTAAGGGTCCTACAGAAAAATCAAATGAAAGGGAAATTATAAATAGCAATGCATGATTAAACAAGCCCTGAAACAGCAGTAAACATCCGTGTTCAGGTGTGCATTTGTTATGTTAAAGGAAAAAAGAACAAAATGATTCTGGACTGCACAGTGCACAAGTCACAGTTGTACAGTTAGATAGCAGACTGGGTAAATGCACATATTTAAAAGACACTTAAAATGTAATGGTTTATATTTAACAGTTTAAATGCAGTTTACTGAAGAACTGACAATTTACTGGAAAAATTCTTTCATACTATTGTCCCTCGAGAGTGTCTTGCTATTGTTAAACAGAAATTACTCATGAGGATTTCTTTTAGCAGCACGTGTTAGTATATTCCTGTTCCAACAGCAACAAACTATGAGATGACATATTTTAAAGTACAACATTTTACAAGCTAAAAAATGTTTCTTTTTTTCCCCATGTGGAAAAAGTACATACTCCAAAGTAAAATGAAACTCAGATTCAAGAGCCCAAAAGCATACTTTACTTAAAAATTAATAATTTTTAAATGGGTGCATGTCTGAATGGGGTAAAGTAGCTCTTCTTGGAGCTATATGATAACAGAAAATTGTTATTGTATAATTACGGCCTTTTATACAAACAATTACTAAAAATCAGAAGATGTTTTCAGAAGTACAGAGCTCCTATGAATCCTACTGAAGTTATTTAGTTACTGGAGCTCAGCATCTTTAAAGTCTCCAAAATGCCCTGGTCCGACTTCTTCAAGGCCAAAGTGAACACTGTATTTAATACAGCTTTATAAAAACTTGATTTAATTCATTTGAAACTCAAGAATCATTAAAACTATACTGCATATTCTTGCTAACACTGAAGAGTTAACATACCGCAAAACATTAATAACTCTCAAAAATAATTTAAGAAAATATATCCAAAAATACAAATGTGAAAATCTGGTATTTGCTTTTCACAGATCTACAGTTATTTTGGGCTTGTAACAGAAGCCTTCACTACAGCATTAGAGTGTTTTTGTGAAAAGCTGGTGCGGGGGGAGGGGGAGAATATCTTGAGATTTATCTAAGATTGTCCAGGGTAACACAATAATTGTAGGCATACTTGATAAAGCATGAAAGTTTAGCTGGTGCTGCTCACCCCACCCATTTCCTTTTACACCCAGCCTGCCACCTCAATATTACATAGGTTGCCTGTATATAACAACATCACAACCTTCATTCAAATCCTTTCTGAAAACACTCTGGTAGAGATTTCCTGAAAGCCAGTTAAATAAAATAAAACCAACTCTGAAGCATTCCCGAAACTGGACCCTCCAATACCTGATTGTCTAGCCTATAATGTTATTTGCACTGCATTGTCTATCAAGTCTAAATCTAGGCAGACAAGGTTCCTTGGGTGAATTTGATATCTTTTATTAGACCAACCCAAATGGTTGGAGAATAGTTATTAAGCAAGCTTTCGGGTTCAAAAACCCTTCATCAGCCTCAGGAAGCTGCAGCAGTTGGTGTGTCCAAATTCACCCAAGGAACCTTGTCTGCCTATATCCTTAGACCAACACGGCTACAACCTAAACCCCTGCAAGTCTAAATCTAAGCTTTTTGGAGAAGCAACGCAGGGTTTTCCTCCACCTATCTGTAAAACTGGACAAAGCAACTTTTTAAAGAAATCACTACATACTGTAGATTCCTCAGTTGCAAAGCAGATGTTTGATGAATAATAGCTCATATTCATCAGTAGAATGTCAGAATTATAATACAGTCACTCAATGATCTTCCAAGGTCCCTTCCAGCCCTAATGTCTATGAAATCTACGAAACATATTCGATGCTTGAACCCCCAACCCCCCTCCCCGATTTCAGGCAGAGATTCTGCTCCCCCGCAACCCCCCCCCCAACCAATAACAGGGTAACAGGCCCTACTATTATTTTCCCTAAAGAAAGGGAGAAAAAGGAGCAGAAAAACCTGCCCCTTTAATAGAAAGAGATGCAGGGAAGCACGGTGGAATAATTTAAAATATAAACATAATTTAAATCATCAAGCAGAAAACCTTAAGCAGAAGCCTTGGTATACACATTTATCTTTTCTATTTATTTTTCTTAAACAAATGTTGATAATCATGGAAACATGATGATAAACAGACTCTTCTTACTGAACTGAGCACTTCTTTTTCTGACTAGAATAATCAACTATAACTATGCATCTTTATCACACTGGTTATACACCTTAATATGAATTTATTTGAAATTCACTAAATGATATGTTTTCTTTGTCTCATTTTGTTCTGTTTAATATTTGTCTCAAATTCTATTTGGAATTTCATTAGAAAAGCGTAAAACAGAATTTTTGATTAGCTAAATAAAATTACCTTAAATAATAAAATCCCAAATTATTTCCCAAATTTGAGTGAACTAGTCAATAACTTGAATTACATGAACTGAATGAAGAAAAGATTTTCTTTACCCCTGCTGTCAAAAATTAGTTCCAGATGATTAATTAGTGATTCAGTGGTTTGAATTTCTTTAAAAAAATTCCAAGCAAATATGTATTGGTTCATATTTTTATTAATTTAAATAGATCATAATATAGGCATTAAGATTGGTGTGTCATAATTTTATGTAGCTTTTTAAGAATAATATAGTTACATTACAAAACTGACTGGAATAAAATAGATTATCCACCCTGAAGAAAGCAGGCCAAGAGCTGACATTACTTTGTGGGTTTCATTCTTGTTTTTTTTAAGAGGAGGTCTGATACCAAGAACCTTTATTTCTGACCCCTTTGCAGGAAGGGGTGTGTGCCAGGTACAGGGCACTCTGAAAACTAGTCTCCTTTATGAGGACAAGATGAAATGTAGCTGCTGTTTTCTCTCAAGAAGGAAGGGAGGGAGGGAGAAAAACTTGAAGTGCAATGATAAGCCACTCACATACATGCTTTAATCTGTGATCGCCCAAGAAAGAGGGCGTGAGCATCCTGTACAGCTTCAGTGCTGAAAACTGGAAGAGTCCCAATGGTACAGCAGAACTAACTGTACTTGGAGCCTGCAGAACTCACAGAATACGCCTGTGGCAGCTACAAGCAGCTTCTGCTGGCGCACTTGCTTCAGTGTTGTCGTAGGACTCTGACAGCAAAACTAAAACCTGGCAGGAAGATGATCTTTGAAGAGAGCTTTCAAATTACCTTTATACCAAGATCACTTTCATACACAAGCTGTGAAAAAAACCTAACTTTATGGCCTTGGAAATAGGAACCACTGAATGCTTTTGAACAGTAATCAGGATATGCTCCGTAATACACTTTATTGGACAAACTATACATTTGGGAGAGATATTAGATGTGCTTTCAGGAACTAAATGTCCTTCCTCCCTCAGGCGATCTGTATCTGAGCAAACTATATAGCACTATAGGAATCAAAGCAGATGAAATTTATCATGACAGTTTTTGGTCTCCAAATGAAAACCCATTTAAGGGGCAGGTACATGTAACAAAACAGAACCACCAGTCCTGCCAGTTACAGAAGCTTCTACTCAGTTATTGTTACTTCCTGTATTTTCAAGGAAAAAAACCCTTTTTCTTCATTCAGAGACTTTGAAAAAAAAAACTATCTTATTTGGGGACATGCTGCATGTCACAAAATACAGTATCTTCATTAATGATCTGGAGGATGGGATTGAGCATACATTTAAAAAATTTGCAGATGACACCAAGTTGGGCAGAGTTGCAGGCACTCTGGAAGGTATGATTATGACCTTGAAAAATTGGAGAAATTCTCTGAAATCAATCAAGTGAAATTCAGTAAGGACAAGGGCAAAGCCATGCACTTTGGATGGAACAATTACATGTACAAATACTGGCTCTGGAACTGACTGGCTAGGGTGCAATACTTCAGAAAAGGTACTGGACCTCACAGAACCTGACCACCCAAAACCACGCTGAGCTGTATTAACAGGAGTGTCACTTGCAAGTCAAGGGAGGGGATTCTTCTGCTTAAATTGGGCACTGGTAAGGCCCTCACACCCAGAGTACTTTGTCCACATTAGGGATGCATGCTTCAAAATGTAGACAAATTGGAAAAAATTCAATGCAGCAACAAAAATGATCAGAGGTCTAGGAAACAGGATTTAAAGCTAAATGGTTAAAAGAACAGGAATAATCTAGTCTAGGGAAGAGAAGACTGAAGAGGGACTTAATAACAGTCCTCAAATATTTAAAAGGTGGTTACATGAGGAATGGAGATAGAACAGTCTATGTGGCTGCAAGGGGCAAGTCTTAAATTCAAGCAAGGGAAATGTAGGTTGGATACTAGGCAGAACTCTCTCACTGAGGGAAGTTGAGCACTGGAACAGGCTGTGCAGAGAGGCTGTGCAATATCCAACCTTGGAAGTTCCTGAGAGCAGGTTAAAACATTTAACAAGGAGAGTTTAGCCCAGAAGTGGGCAAAATGTGGCCCGCAGACCAGGTGCGGCCCGCCAAGCCATTCTATCCGGCCCGCAGGGCCCCTAAAATCTTTAGAAAATTAGTATTTGTCTGCCCCTGGCTGCCTGTCATGCGGCCCTCAATGGCTTGCCAAAACTCAGTAAGCGGCCCTCTGCCCGAAATAATTGCCCACCCCTGGTTTAGCCCATCTTGAGCAGGGGGTTGGATAAGATTAGGGTCAGCGACCTATGGCCCATGGGCTGTATCCAGCCTGCAAAGAGACTGGATGTGGCCTGATGTATTAATGGTACACTAAGACTCAGTTGTCCAATCTGTTGTGCTTGCTGCAGCCATCCCTGGTCTGGCTGATGGCTGCTTACCATCACAGCCAAATCAGCCACTCAACTGCTGATCACCAGTTTTTCATGGCATGCTTTTTCAGCTGAGACTACATTAGGAGAGTAATAGAATGGCCCTCTGCATAGAGCAGGGACAACCAAAGAAGCTAGAAGGGTCACAAGCTGTGGCCCATGCTGGTAAAAGGTTGTCAGCTCCTAGACTAGATCTCCTGAGGTCCCTTC